CTGCCGTCACTTCTACTTTAGCCAGTGCCGGGCTGGCCGGGATGGTTCATCGCTCCGCACCCACGCCCGGCGCTGGGAGTGGTGCCGGGGTTTATGGCTTATCTCCCATCTCACCTCTGCGGGAGGCTGAGTCACTGGCCGTTACCCCAGGGGTGCGTCCATCAAAAACGTTACCCCAGGGGTGCATCCATCCGTCCCCCTCCCCGCGTTCCTGCCCTCCCAGCGCTGCAGGTTTGTGGGGAGCTGGAGAGTTTGGCTCCACTGCTTGGAGGCAGCTGAAGGAGGCTCAATACAGGGCAGTGAAGCTTCCAGGGTCATGTTTGGTCTGTGGTGAGTGGAGTCTCCTCTCTGGGAGCCCCATCGCACCTTGAGAGGACTGTGGTTTGTTGTCTCTTGCTCAAAGCAAGACCCTCCTTAAACACAAGAGCGGCAGATCCTGGGTTGCCAGCTCTGTGTCTGTAAGTCGGCTCCTGCGGTGCAATTTTGGGCTTAGAAACACCCACTGGGCTTCCAGTTTGGTCCCAAACTTCTCTCTGTATTTAGGACCCTCCTTCTCAACTCCCCAGCACATAAGAGAAGAAGCTGCTGATCTCCTCGGTGATGTCCAGAGATGTTCACCCACACAATGGGTTCCTCAGGGCTGTTGGTGACTGATTTAGCAAGTCACAGCACATCGCCTGGCTCCCCGCAGCTGTGCCTGGGCTTAGCCAACGGCAAATCCCATCTTAGCCTCTGCGGGCAGGTGATGGTGAGCACAGGGGAAGGTTATCGCCACCGAGCCCTCCCCTGCGCCTGCCTGGGGCTGAAGCTCAGGATCCCCTTGGTTGTGGTGTGGGCCTTGGGCACTCACAGTTCAACTGAAGAGCTGATGGGTCTTAAACTGTTGCTACTATTTGGTGTGGCTCGTGGAAAAAATTTTGGGAGTTTGTTCTTGGTGCGGTGGAGGCGGGTGGTGAGGTCCCTCAGGTGAACGCCTCGCGGTTGCTGTGTGGCTGAAGCGTGCTGTCACCTCCTCTGCGTGGGTCTCTGCCCCCTCTCATTCCCCCTGCTCCTCACAAGAGCCGTGGCAGCACTGCAGGCTCCCAGCTGCTTGGGCACAGGGGTCCAGGCAGGAGCTAAACCATCACCCTGCTTGTATGTAAACCCTCTCTTAGGGCTTGACGGGTATCCTTGTGCATTTGGGAATCTAAGAGCCTCTTTGTTGCCTCTCTAGAGCTCCCGGAGAACTGGACCGATACCCGTGAGACGCTGCTGGAGGGGATGCTCTTCAGCCTCAAGTACATGGGCATGACACTGGTGGAGCAGCCCAAGGGAGAGGAGCTCTCTGCAGCCGCTGTCAAAAGGATCGTTGCCACCGTGAGTGTCCGTGCTGGAGCAGAGCCCTGTCTCCTGCAGCTCAGACAAACCCGTCACTGGGGAGAGTTTCAAAAGACGCAGGTCAGGAGGCAGTGCTGTCCATCTGCAGGCTGTGGGGTGTCAGGATTGCAGGTCCAGCCCTTCCAGGGGTGAGCAGGCACCTGGTGGTGTAGGTAGAAATGCACTGGGAAGCTCTTGGGACCGGCCCTGTCCCACAGATGGGGCCGGCTGCAGAGAGCTGGTGTTACGTGTCTGAGCTCTGGCTCCCCTTGATAAGCTTCGGGTGACCCTGGGTGTGGAAGGAGCCTCTGACCTGGTGAAATCAGCCTTCCTCAGGGCTGCTTCTCCTCTTGAAAGGCAGTGACAGTGTTTTGAGCACAGCCAGCGCGTGACCAGGAGCTGGCATGTGCAGTTCTGGGTTTTCCTTCCCAGGATTTGGAGGGTTAAGAGGAGAAGGGAGCAGGACAGCTCGCTCTGATTCCCAGCCAATACAGCCGCTGTCCTGCTGTAACCTCTGATGCAAGAGGGACCGATTTTCAGCCATCCTCTAGCACCAAGCCTCCCTGGAGCCCCTGCTCACCGGGCTCCAAGTAAAATTAACGCTTCTTTAAGCCCTTATAAAACTGAATGAGGCAAAGACCCAATTGTACAGTTAAACGTCGTAAAACTCAATGGGGTGGCGAACTGCGCTGGGTAATGACGGATTCTTTCCTGACGTGTGCTGAGCTGGGTGGGAGGGGAGTGCTCACATGAAACAGGAGCTGCTGGCAGAGGCCTTCATGTCTGCTCTGATCAGAACAGAGCTTTTAAATAAAAGCCCCAGGGCTGAGGCCAGCCTCGGAGGGGCAGGACTGACTGCTGGCCGGTCTGGATGCGGCTCAAGTGAGGTCCCCAGGGAGCAGGGCTGAGAATCCAGGTCTGCAGTCTGCAGCTAGCTAGCTGTGGGGTTTTTTCTTTATTTTTTGGAGAGAAGCTGGGCACTGAGGTGAACGTAACCTGAAAGCTGAAAGCACAAACCTAGTAAATAAGAGCAAGAGGCCTTTAAAAGTCTAGTTACTTTATAAGCCGGTGTCCTGACCTTGGTGTGGGGGATGCTTTGCCACTCAAGCGGGGTTTGGCAGCACAGCTCAAAGCCGGCTGCTTGGGAGCCCACATCCTGCAGGACCATTCTTCTCTCTTGTTTGTGCTGGTGTCCCCCTCCAGAGCTGGCCCTAAAGACAAAACTCCCTGGGGTCTCACCAAGCACTCGCATTGCTTGGCCAGAGCAGCCACTGATGGAAATCAGCGTGGAGAAATCCTTGTGGAGATGTTGGGCTGGAAATACCTCCATGTGATGCTGGGTGGAGGGTGCATGTCCTTGTCTCATTAATGCTGGCAAAAATCACTGCTTCAGGGAAGGAAAAGTTGTAACCAGTGCCTTATCACACCTGGTGGTAAATCCAATCTCAGGTACTAACGAGTGCTATTAATATTCCCGTTAGGTAGTGTGTATGCAGAGTCTCTGCTCATGTGCCTTTGGATATATCGGTGTTAAAAGCCTGTAATTTTCCCTCTTTTCCTTTCAAAGGCGAAAGCGAGTGGAAAGAAACTGCAGAAAGTGACTCTGAAAGTCTCACCCAGAGGGATCGTGTTAAACGACAGCGGAACGAACGAGCTGATCGAGAACGTCTCCATATACAGGTGGGTTACGGGAGGTGCTTCAGTGGGTGTCTGCTCTGAGGGTACTCCTCTGCTCCAGTCTCCACCTGGGCTGAGCTGATCTCTTGCTGGCCATCATGTCTTGATGGAAAGCAACAGTGGGGGAAGAAGGGAGGTTGCTGAATTTAAGGTAAATTTATGTCTGGTGCTATAAGTGTCCAGCTGGGGGTAAGGAAAGATGTGACAAGCCTGAAGGTGTCATGTGTGTGCAGACAACAGATCCACAGTCAAATGCTCCATGGCCACGGGTGGCTTTACTGCTTGTTTTTGGCAATAGAAATGCCAAAGCATCTGGGGTGATGGCAAGAGTTGAGTACGGAGAGTGGTCAGAGCATCTCTGAGCAGGTGAGGGACGTGAGTGCTGGAGCCAGGGCTGCCCTCCCCTTGCTGGCTGCTCTGCACCTCTGAGATGTTCAGGTAGCTCTGGCAAAGAGCTGGGCTGGGACAGCTGTTGAGACCCAGAACCAGAGGGTGAGGATGGATTATCCCATATCTCCTCCTTGGGCTTTGGCAAGTGTTTCTTCCAAAGAGTCTGGAGGCAGGTGCAGGCCTGGCAGAGCAGAGCTCAGCTCAGACCTGGCCCTTTTTATCTCCTCCAAACCCCTTCTCCCTCTACACCCCCCACACTCTGCTTCTGTCCTTCACCTCCTGCTCTGTCCCCCTCTGCTAAATGTGGGATGGGGAGCACTGGCTTGGGGTTCTCTCTCTAACCAGACTACTAACCCGCTTGCTTTTCTCTAGTTCAAGCCCAGCAGTTGGGTACAGCCACCGGTGCTGAGCCCCAGCCCTCCCCGGGAGATAAACCTGCTGCTAGAGAGCAGAGCTGGGCGAAGCGGCCGCGGGATCACCGTGCTGGTGTACAAGCAGGCAGAGCCCTGGGGTTGGGATTTTTAGATGCTGCCTTAAATTCTCCCCAGACGCTTTAACAGCCATCGATAAAGCTGTTTCTCCCGGTCAGTGCTCGTGTACGAGTGTCCCTCGATTCAGTTGACTGAAGGCAGCGCATCCTAAATAAGCTGTTGATGTGGAGACTGATGCTGGATGGCAAAAGCTGGGGTCTGTGTGCATGGGGGGGTCATCTCCCTGCTCTGTGAGCGTGCTCCAGCCATGGCGGTCCCAGGGCTTTCCTCCAACCCCTCTCCTGTCTTCTCTTTGGCTTTTCTACTCACTGGGGAGATGCCAGCTCTGAGCTCTCACCCCATATCGGTGTTTGGGCAGGGCGGGGTGGTCACAACTAAAATCCAGCCACTGTCATCAACGTGCCACTGCTGGAGGCCTCGGTGGTAAAACTGGTTCACTTCAGAGGCGGGTGTGAGTTGTCCTGTCCCTGGAAATTAATGGCCATCGAATACTGAGCTGAGCGCTGGAGGCTGCTGGAAGGGCCGTGCGCCTGCGCAGACGACCTTCCACAACTTTGTCATGGTTATTAAAAGAATGGCCGTGCTGTTTTGGGAAAAATGGGAGAAAGAAGTGAACTTCCAAGTGCTTCTTTAATCCAGAGCACGGCTCAGCTCTGGAAAACAAAATATAGGCTCTTGAGCAGAGGCATCCTCACGTGCAGTGTAAATAAATTTTGAATGTGGCTTTTAAGTCCCAGCATCTGCTGAGAACTGGGACCTTCCAGTCCCCTCCCTGCAAACTCTCGGGGGCAGGAAGAACAGAAGCTGAGGGGGCATCGTGGGGCCATGGGAAAACTTTCACCCAAGTGTCTTCCTTTTTCCTTGAGTTTTCTCTTTCTTTAAAACCTGTTTGATCTGTCGCGTGCCCAGGGAAGAGGCTTTGCTCGCTGCTAGCGCCTGCCGCCTTGCACTAAACCTCTGGGGCTGCTCCGGCTGGTGCTTGCTGGCCTCAGAGGAGACGCTCAGTCCTGCAGCTCCTGGCATGGATGGACCTGTGGGAGATGGTGGTGACTGATGCTGAGGGACCCACCCTCCCCAGAAGGGAGCTAAGCCCTCAGTCACAGCCTGGTCTCCCCAAACAGATCAGCCTGTTGCTCTTCCAGAGCCTTTTTTTGGCATTTCGGGGTCAGCCCTGCCCTGCTCGGGGGCTGGGAGAGACACGGCCATCCTGGGGATGCTCCAGTGGGGAGGCTGAGCCTCCTTCCCCATGTCCCGTGTGCTCAGGGCTCTCGGAGCATCCCATCCATCTGCTACTGCAGATCTCGGAGCCTGAATTTCAGCCTTTCCAACAGCTTTTCTTGGGCACCCCTGCAGCCATTTCTTTCCCTGGTTTGAGCCTCAAGATTAAATCGTAGGCTGAGAACAAGTCCTACTCTCTCCTTGCAAACTTATCCTCCAAGGAAAATCTTCCAGAGTCTCTCTTCTGAAGGCAGAGCATTTGTCAGAGGTAGTCCCAGGCTGGCACGCTGTAGAGTCTTTACCTTCTCTAACCTGCCCTTTCCAACAAGGTGAAACGTTTTCTCTTCTCTCCTGCCTCTGCGTGTGATGCACATGGCTCACACCTCGGCTGCGGGAGTTGCTCCGGCTTCTTCTTATGCTCAAGCCAGTGGCATCAACTCCTCGGCTCTGGGAAGGAGTTGCATCAAAGCCTGGGAATGCTCCCGTGCTCCCTCTGCCTTCCCTGCTTGGTCCCGGAGCTGGAAGCCCTGGGGTAGGCGCTTGCTGGCAGGTCAGAGGAGGGGTTGGTTGGTCTCCCTTGCACACAGTGCCCCGGACAAGACGTTTCATTCTGTCTTTCAGGATATCCTACTGCACGGCAGACAAGATCCACGATAAAGTGTTTGCCTACATTGCCCAGAACCAGCTCAATGAGAACCTGGAGTGCCATGCCTTCCTCTGTACCAAACGGAAAATGGTCAGTCCAGAGGAAGAAATGGGGATGTGGCTGTAGCAGGAGGAAGCAGAGAGGGGCTGTGCCGGTGAGATAACAGCTCTGCCCCTAGTTAGAGCAAGGAGGGGGCCCTGCCTCAGCGAAGAGCCGCAGGAGAGCACCCACCCTCCTGCTGCCATCACCGCCTGCCCACGGGTGGTGACGCCAGGCAGCGCTGCCCAGTGCCGGGGCGTAACTCCGGGCTGGATTCAGCCCATCATCTTGGCAGGGAAAAGCCTTTCTGCCCCAGGGTCTGGGGCTGTGG